GTGACTACAGTCTTCATTAGAATGGACAACACAATTCTGGGATACAAATTGGACCTATCAAAGGCATGCAGATAACAGAGAAATTTTATTACTTTTGTTTCTCTCTCTTTGTTAATTTGTTTACCTTTTTCTGTCCCACTGAGGTTTTGTTTAGTCTTTTTGTTTTTTTTTTTTTTTATTTTTCTTTTTTAATCCTTTTATTCTTTTACAAATTAAATTTTTTTCCTTTTATTTTCTTCTATTCATTTTCTTACTCTCTTCCCTCAATAATTTCATTTGGTTTTAGGGTACTTTCATGTGCATTAATATTGTCTATTCTTTTACTTGTTCACATCAATTCTCTGTTGCTTTCTGTTCCATTGCTTCTCTGAGTCCTCCAGTTTTCCAAAATTTGAGTGATCATTTTATTCCTTGCAGACTTACCCTACTATATCTGAAGTTATTTATCTCTGTATCTTGTCCCCATTCCCTTTTAAACCTCCCTACAAAAGTGTAAAATAATACCACTAAGAGGAAAATTCCTGCATGTGCATTCCTGATATATTTTGTTATATAAGTGTATACTTTGAACTTGTGATAAAAGGTCTCAGATTAATAGTTCCCAGTGTAGCCATGGTGTGCTTGATACTCTCATTATTGCTAGCTGTACTTTTTAGGCAGGATGCCTTTTATAAACAAGTTTTGTCCCTTTTACAACACTGTGACATATGAGGTCATTATATTCCAGTACAAAAAGATTGGATGGGGGGCTGGGAATTTAGCTCAGTGGCACAAGCGCCTGCCTTGGAAGCAGGCAGTCATGAGTTTGATCCCTGGTACCGATAAAAATGAAAAAGACCAAAAAAAAAAAAAAAAAAAGACTGGGTGCTAAGTCATATAGGCAGCAACTTTTTGTCCATAATACACTGGAAAAGTAGATTCTTGGGATAGACACAAAGACCAAGAACTGCTTACATTTATAAGACGTCCCTGAGAAACCATCACTTCCTAGGTCAACCTCAATAGTAGGGATAGAAGTCTCTACTATAAGAATTATACTGCCTGCTTTTCCTTCAGAATGTACAGCCCCAGAGCCATAAAAACAAACTGCATATAGTTTAAAAAAAAAAAAAAGAATTAACAGGCAGTTCAAGAAGTCATCACAGGAAATGCATAGAATCTGCACAGTCCTCTCAAGGAATTTGAAGAGGAAAAAAAAAAAAAAAGAATCTGCACAGTCCAATGTGAGGATAGATTTCAGGCTCACCGTCAGTCCAGAGACATATATTCACACTTTTTTTTTCCACTTACCAATTCTTCTCCGAAGTTAGACATGGTTTCCTCACACACTTCTTATGCATAACTTCTCAGACATTCACACCATTTGGAATAGTATACTTTTTCCATATTCTTTTCCATCAAGGATGTAGCTCAGTGGCATAAGCATCTGCCTGGTAAGCATGAGGTCGTGAATTCAATCCCCTGTAGCAAAAAAAAAAAAAAAAAAATCTTTTCCTCTTTTAACTAACATTTTATTTTTTTAGTGAGGTCTGTCCTCATTATCTCCTCTGTCAAAATCATAATTCATGGGACTAGTATCATTTCTGTAGCCTTCCACAGCTAAGATAGCCTGGTTTAAAATATGTTCACTGATACTTATTCCTTTAAAAACACTTGTCAAAGTTCCAAGCCTGCATTCAGTGCCCTGTAGTCATACATTCAGAACTGGTTCTGACATGCACACATTGTTTGCACATTAGATACCTGAATCATCATGAAAAACTTTGGAGGTGAAATCTGATTTTTCCTGGTTTTTCTGATGAAAACCTGGAACTAGAGAAATTTAATAATGCTCTACTTCTCAGAGCTAGGAATAACCTGAAATTCATGTGTGTCTCCAAACAGGGCTTTTAGTTTCCTCAGTGAATTGTCTACTCCACTTGGGAGATTTAGTTCTTAATAGATTATCTCGTCCTAAAGAGTTTCTGTCCACTAAGTCTCAACCTGCTGTCATGTTCCTGCTTCCAACACAGCTGGGTTCTCAGATAACTTTTTTTGGTACTGGGGATCAAATTCACAGCCTGAGCTATATCCCAAACTCTTCTCAGCTAACTTGAATAATAATAATAATAATAATTATTATTATTATTATTACTACTGCTTTGTTTCGGTACTGGGAATTGAACTCACAACCACGTGCTTGCCAGGCAAGTACTTTATTCTTGCAATCAAGAATATGAGTATTCCAATATATTATTCATTTCTGTATCAAGATGTTTCACATAGGGCAATCAGTGAAGAACAGAAATATATTTTTTACAATATTGATCATAGTCTAAGAACATGGCACAAGAATCATGGGAAATAATTTTTCTTCATGGTACATGGTTGGATGACAAAATACCATAAAGTGAGTACGGTTGAGTAAGATGCTCACACCAGTCTATGTCCTTCGCTTTCATGTTAGGACCATGATTCTGTTTATGAGAGGAAAACACTCATGGACCCATCACCTCATGTCAGATACTTCACATCAATAACCAAATGTGAGACTGGATCTCCTTGTTCTTAATCTCTAGAGCCCAGACACAAAGCATCACTTCCAATCTATGTTCATTTTGAATTTCATCATTGGTGACCTGATCAGAATCAACTTTATTTTTCTTTTTTTTTATCAGAATCTACTTTTCAATGCATCAAGTAACAATAGTGTTGGCCTGCGGGGGGCGGGCTCAGGCTGGCTGGGCGTTGCCTTGTGACGGAGGGGGCGCTCTGGGGCAGATAGGCCAGGGGCACGGTTTTCATTTGGGGTCCTGCTGTGGGTTGGGCAAGGGACACATTGTGCTGGTTCCGTTTAATTATTTGTTATGGGGCTGGTGTTTGTTATGAAGCAGAGGAACCCAGAGGCAGTGGACTGCAGAGAGGAAGCAGGTTTAGGGTAGAGGAGTTAAGTTTCAAAGAGAGAAACTCGCGTAGCCAAAGCGGCGGCGGCTTTGGGAACTTGGAGGCAGCTGCCGGCGCCGCGGTGTGGGTGCGGGCCTTAAAGGCGCAGAGCGTTAGGAGCCCAGACAAGGAGCTCGCCCGCCTGAAGCGCTCAGTACGGCGGACCTGGGGTGCTCCCTGGATTCAGAATGTCTTGGAGGCAGGGTTAGAGAGAAAAAGAAAAAGGGAGAGAGAGATTCAGGGTTGACTTGATCGGAAATGCTCAGCGAGATCTGTCGCGACAGAAGCTTCAAGAACTGTGGGGACCGTGGTCTGAGGATGTTACTAGGTGGCCTTACCTGTGAGAGAGTTCAGGAGAGTTTAAACCCTTCCAAAAAAGCGTGTTTCCCTTCCCGGATCTTGACACCAAACTGTAACGTATGTAAAGCAGAGAGACCAGCAGGCTCGGGTAAAAGGAACATTGCATAGAATTTACTGCTCCTGGTGATATAGGGAATGAAACTCCCAACCTAGTATATCTGGGAGCCTGTGTTCTCTATCGAAGAATGAATTTTGGAACAACGGAGGTTAAGAGTAGAATATATTTATTTGAGAGAAAGAAAGCTTCTGTCTGAGAGAGAGACAGAAGGGGACCCGAGCGGGTTGTTCAAGACTGTCTTTTCCAAGGACTTTTATAAAATAAAACCATGAGGTGAGAAGGGTGGGTTCAAGGTGGGGGAAGACTGGGAAATCACAAGGCAGATGGGCATAAGGTGGGACATAACTATAGTTATCCAATAAGATTAATAGTTCAGGTAAAATTGATTACATTAGGGACAAATAGGAAAGCAAGTCACCATTAGGAAGCAGGCATTTTAGGAGCTGTGACCTTTCCCCTAGGGGGATGGTGGTAGGGAACTAATTAGAATATCAGTCTTTAGGATGTAGATGCATTTGTTTGATCCTTTGTCTTGAAGCCTATCCCACAGCAGGAGGTGTCTGTCTCCTCCACAGTTGTAAGATATCTGCAATGGATCCTTTTAGGACCTAGCCCTGTCTTACTGCCTATAATATTTCTAACTAACTCAGCTGCCTGCAACACTGGGTTCAGGCAGAGAGCACCATAAGACCTTCTGCCCCCCAAAGAGAAGTGTGCCCTTTTTATAGGGATGGAGAGAAGGCAGGGGACATCAGGCAGCAAGATTCCAATGAACATAAGTGGTTAAAGTTTTCTGGCAATCTTGCATTTCATTGGGCTGAACCCTTCACAGTGTTCCTTGTGAATTTCTGGGTGTCTGCAGATGTCTCCAGGAGCTGCCAAATTGCTTGTCCTATGTTATCTCCTTTCCAGTGTTTGCCAGCGGCCAGCTCAGTGCTGAGCTGAGTTCCCTGCAGAAAGCAGTGTTCCTGCTGCCCAGCAGGCTGGGGCTGGGAGTCAGGCCAAGTTACAGCTTTCATGCTTGGAAATACATTTATCTTCAAAATTCAGGTACTTTCTGGAAAAAAGTCTGCAGTTTGAGGGAGTTGAAATGTTTAGTGTCTTTACTCCTTTACAGAATATTACCATCATTTGACTCCAATTTCTTTACACCAAAACTATATTCTCTTAAGTTTCTTGTATTCATTTTCACAGATTGAGAAATAGTTTGAAAATCTTGGCAATGAAACCAACTGCTTCATTCCAACAGCAGGGCTTTCCTCCTTTCCACTTTGTCCTAGGGTTCCCTGGCGTCATGTTGTTTTCAGCCCTCAAGGGATTGATTCTTCCTAAGGGCACTGCCCCTAGAACCTTCTGAGCACCTTTGTTACTCATTTTCAGGAAGAGCCCACTGAGTACATTAAGAAAACCATGGAAGCTTTAAAAAGCCTGGATTAATGCCTGCAAACGAAAGCATTCTTCATGTGAGGTGAGATTGTCACAGTGGGAGTTAGACTGGATCAGAGTTTTCTGGGTTAGAATTCATCCATTTGAGCCCCACTCAAATTGGAAGTACTTTCCTTCTCTTGTCAAACTCAGTGCACCCGCCCATGGTGGAGTAGAAGCCAATCAGCGATGAAGGCGGGCTGTCTGAACCAACCAATCAGGCGCAGTGAGGGAGGCGGGCACTTCCTGTGTCATGGCGCCGAACGGTGAAGAGTGATTTCATTGCTGAGAGCCCCCACCTGACTAGACCACCCTTTTCTGTGACTTCTAGTGGCTGCAACCTGCATTGGAAGGATTCTGGGAGCCTCTCACGCACACAATGGTGACGTTGTGGGATGGGTATAGGAATGGGGTGGAATTGGGGAAGCTCCAGAAGGAGGGGGCCAGAGTGAGCTATGGCGATGAATAGTCTCTGCTTCGCTCCAGAATCTGAGGTCTTTCCTATTCTTTGGCTCTGATTATCATCTGTCCCTTTTCCGCTTTGCTCAGGCGCGGGTAGTTCTGGGCCCTATCATCCTGTCCCCACTGTGATGCTTCCAGCCCAGAATGCCTTCTTGGATGCCCCGGGCACAGCTGTGCCTCCACTAGGATGAGGAGAGCCGGGGCCTTGCGGAAATCCTGTATGCCACACTCGGCAATGAAAAACATTGTTTATGTGAGACCTCTGCTCTGATAGTGGCGTTACTGCACGAACAGCTCTCGCGGTCGCACAACACTGAGAAGTGAGGTTTGGAACCAAAATGTGGATATTAGGAGGAGAGATTTTATGGGGAATAATAATCAGAGCTCCCTGATTTCCAGGAAGCAGCCTGAATGAGTGGCCATGTGGCCGCTGACTCAATCCAGAGCTAATTATAGGTAAGCAGAGCACAATACTGGTTTAGTTGCTTAGTGACTACCTATCAAAGACGTCTTTGTATTTACAACAACCATTTTGAACTCAGAATCTCTAACCAATTTTCTCTGCGTGCATGGTTTAAAGGGACAAGTTTTCCTGGAAAATGTGTTTATTTTCTATTTTAAATTTCTGTAAACTCAGGAGCTGTGGTTGCAACTCCTTGTAGCAGAGAGGTGGCTGTTTCTTGTTGGGCAGAAAGTTCACCCCTGGGTCAACATTCTAGGTGATTTTGTTCTCATTTTAATTGTTACAAAAATGTGTATGGCAACTCTGTCTCAGGCCCTTCCTCACCTAGGTGTCTTAATTGTATGCTAATAAAGCAAATTATTTTTTACTTTTAGAGGCTTTCCATAGAGTTTACAATGCTGAGGAAGGTGGAAGGGATGCTAATGTATAATCGAATGAGAGAAAAGTGTTTCTGCTAAGGACAGCTTCCTGAAAGGGCTGCCTGTTAAAATCGTATGGAGAAATGCATTGAACTCTGGCATCTACAGGGACATGCATTTGGGATATTTGTCTGATTGGAAAGGGAAAGGGATTTCATCTCTGAAATAATTGAAGTACTCTGTGGACTGTTTCTAGATGTTGTTTAAAAACTGAAACAGTGATTGAGATGCACATTGCAAAAACAAGTATTGAGCCCTTTCTGTTGTTGTGCACCTATAATCCTTGCATTCAGGAAGCTGAGGCAGGTGGCTCCTTCTCAGTTTAAGAGCAGCATATGTGTTAATAGTTCAAGCCTATCCTGAACTACATAGTGAGATTCTGTTTCAAAAAACTAAACAGACAAGAAACAAGTTGATTTGTTTAGATTTTTTTTTTTTCCTGGTGGTACCAGAGAACAAACTCAGGACCTGGTGCTTGCCAAGCAGGTGCTTATGCCCTGAGCTAAGTCCCCCACTCAAAAAACAAGTTTTGAAATAGGGGTAAATTCCCATTGTTAATGTCTGCAAACACATGAACAAATCAAAAAGGTTTTTTGAATAGGCAAGAGGAAAGTAAAAAGTAAGTGGGAAAGCATGCCACTTTGGAGAGGAACATTAGTCAGCAAATATAGCAGTATACTCCATCTGAGTTCAGATTTTTCATAATGTGATAATAATGGAAGGATTGTCTACTGTCTTGGCCTTGACTGAGTCATATGTCAGGCTTAAAGAATGTGGGACTAGTTAGGAATGGAGACCATTTCTTCAGTGATGATTTACTAGCTCATGTAATCATTTCTGAAGCAAAATTGAAAATTAGGAAACTGATCTTTTTGTAGGTTTGAAAATAGTATAGGCATCCTATTTAAAGTAGAATAGGAAGGGAATTCTCATGGATACAAAGGTTCTAAGATGCTTTTTGTGTTTGCTATTGAATGGAAACTGAACTCCAGAAACTTGCCCTAAAATGTAGCCTTCTCTTTCTTTCTTCCTTCTCCCTTTCTCCCTCCCCTCCCCTCCCCTCCCTTCCCCTCCCCTCCCCTCTCCTCCCCTCCTCTCCCTTCCCCTCCCCTCCCCTCCCCTCCTCTCCCTTCCCCTCTTCTTTTCTTTTCATTCTAAACCAGGTCTTGCTAAATTTCCCAGGCTATATTTTCCACCACTTTGCTTGTTGGGTGAAGAACCTTTGCCGCTTTGCTAGTTTAACATTGGAGGTTTTTTTTTTTTTTTTTTTCCTAATTTTTTTTTTTTTTTTTTTTTTTTTTTTTTTTGTCTTTTTTTCATTTTTATCAGTACCGGGATTGAACTCACGACTGCCTGCTTGCAAGGCAGGTACTTATGCTGCTGAGCTAAATCCCCAGCCCCTAACATTGGAGTTTTTAAATCACCTGGATTTACCAAGATTTCAGTGCTTAGGATAAAGCAAATATCACTGAACCTCCATGGTGCACACCTAAGGTTATCCACCTGAGAGACTGAGACAAGTGTATTACATCACGAAGCACAGCCTGGATAACTGAGCAAGACCCAATTTTATTAAATAAATATTTTTAGGTTTAACTCCAATTTTAACTAACTTGTGTAATGTTCATGAGGCTTTGAGTTAAACCTTAGCAGTAAAAAGAAAAAGAAATTATTTAATGCAAATCTTACTTTTAATTTTGAATTTTACTCATTTTTCACACCAGAGGTACATGCTACAGTACTTCCTTTTACTTTTTTTGGGTACCAGGGATTGAACTCAAAACCCCACGCTTGCCCAGGCAGGCACTTACAGCTTCGAGCTAAATCCCCAGCCCTGCAATACTTAAGATTGTGAATAGCAATAGTGAGTCACTGCTTGGCCAAAATCAGGACACCACGAGTGAACAACCTGTGATTTTAAAGTCTGTTATATTCAATCAAGTACACCAGATATTTAGCATTTTATTGTGAATTTTGCTTTTTGTTACATATATTTCCACTTTGTTACATATATTTCCACCGATACACGTCAAGATTTGTGTGATGAGCAGTTGTAAAAGATCCAAGGCTTACCAATGATGTCTTGGTCAGGTATCTTTTGTGCATTTTCAATAAATTTTATTTTCAGTTTTCTCTGGGTTGATAAGAATATGTTCCCTTTTGAACTCAGGTAGCATCTGTAGACTTACTCTTTCAATTTGTCATGTGGTCCTTTGTAGAACATGGTACTCACCAGTTTGTTTCCTGGTTTTATTTTTTGCTTATTTATTTATTTATTTATTTTTGGTACCGGGAATCAAACTCACAACCTGGCACTTGCCAGGCAGGCGATTATGCCGCTGAGCTAAATCCCCAGCCCAGTTTTATATTTATTTTTGAGAGTGTCTCATTGTGTGGTTCTGGCTAGCCTTGAATTCACTGTGTATCCCAGGCTGGCCACAAATTCAAGGGATGCTTCTGCCTCTCCTTCCTGAGTGCAGGAATTACAGGAGTATGTTGCCATGCCCAGCATATTTCCTGTTTTGAGTACAACACTAAACAGATTCTTCAGAGCAACTAAATCAGAAGACCAGTATAATACTGTTGGAAAAGGGGATCAGTACTTTGGAATTATTTTCTGAGTTTGGAGGTTTTTTTGGATTATGTGTCAGTTTTATTCACAGGTGCTCTACTCTGGCTGTACTGTTTGGATACCATCACCAAAATGAGGAAGATAGGATGGAAATTTTCAATGGATAGACACAGGGTTGAGTACTTTGCAGAGAAGACACCAAGCACATGCAAGTTTGAAGAGAAAACACTTCCATTCCTTGCTTTAATTTGTACTGATTATAATAACCCTTCTGTTTTAACCTTAACTCATCACCTGCTTTTCTACACTGGATTGCTCATGACCTGACTTCATACTTCCTCTTCCATGATCTTAATGGTCTAAAGCTAAGCTTGTCCAGTACATCGCTTCCAGAACTGTTTCCACTTTCCAGTGGTCTATATCTCTTTGGGGAAAGAGATAACCTGGAAGCTTCAATCTGTTTTTCATAAAAGAGAAGAAACTGCAATCTCTGAAATCCCTTCAAGGGTGTCTTGGGTTCTCTGCACGGTGAATACAGACCTTCCTTGTTGTTGTAGAGGAGCTAATGGAAACGGGCTATATTTGAGGGTACAGCTGAGATAAAGCAAAGAACTTTACTTCAAAGCACCTCATATCCTGACCTCAATAGGTCCATGTCTATGGATGTCATTGTATAGCATCAAGCTGTAGAGCTCATTCTCTTTTTTTATACTCATGATACCTGGAACATAGTACAGGCAGTGAGGCCAGGAGAGGATATGCAAGTATAGAGAGTGTTTTGGGGAGAGGCACTGGTCTTGGGTTTGGGGTGCAGCATTAAGAGATATGCCACTTCCTATGGTTTTTGTTTGCCCGTTCTTTTTTTTTTTTTTTTTTTTTTTTTTGTCTTTTTCCTTTTTTTATCGGTACCAGGGATCAAACTCACAACTGCCTGCTTGCAAGGCAGGTGCTTATGCCGTTGAGCTAAATCCCCAGCCCCTGTTTGCCCATTCTGAATACTTTGTCAACTAGTACCTTTTTTGTCCACCGCACCTGCTAAGTCTGTGGTTTTCAGGCATTGGTGACTGTGCATGTCAGAAAACATGAATGTGTCTCAACATTTTTGTTGAAATCATAACATACAGTGTGAGCAAGAATTAGAGCAGCATGGGGCTGGGGATTTAGCTCAGTGGCATAAGCGCCTGCCTTGCAAGCAGGCAGTCGTGAGTTCGATCCCTGGTACCGATCAAAAGGAAAAAGACAAAAAAAAAGAATTAGAGCAGCTTGTGGGTTGAGGCAGGATGTTGATCAGTATTACACAGCACACAGAGTGGCCCTTCATAGAAAGAGATACTTCCCCAAATGCCTGTAGTGATCTTGGTTATCCTGCTGCAGTTTTGTATTCCTTTCAGTCTTGTGCCCCTGCTTATCACTAGTGGGTTACACCCCATGGCTTTATGTGCATTTTTATGCTGGCTATAAATCCC